AAAAAAATTTACTTCGCAAACATCCGCGTTATAAAATAAAATTATGTGTCTTACCTAGTATGAAGAGCACCTCCATCCCTCCCTCAATTGCGTGCACTATCCCCGTCACCACTAATCCCAGCACCGCTACTCCCAACACCACATCACTAGGCAAGACACGCCACTGACGATAATACGACACGTGTTTCGCCTCTACACGAGGCATCCTCAGGTGATATAGACTCTACGGTGGCTAACCGCTAAGTGAGCGGCGAGCCAAAACAAGTGCCTTATATACAGACCGCTGATGCAACCTCTCTACTTAAGGAGCGAGCGACTGTGTCATGCGATAAAACATGCGAACAATCACTTACGCAGCCGTTTGTAAAATTAAAAACAAACCGCCGCGCAACGTCCACCCTCCAACCACGCAACCAATCGCCGAATACCGTGAAGGTGATAAACGAGCATATTGCGAGGCTCTCTATTATAGAGAGCAGGCTTAAAGATATTTAAGAGAGGTGAGTTAGTAACATTTGTTTGTTCGTTCAGCATCGAGACACGTTTTATATAATGGATTTCCGCCAAGTAACGCCTGATTATATTAATTAGAATTAGTGATATCAATGGGCCAAATTAAGAGATAGGTAAATTATTAATGAATGATTATGTAACATTACTTAGTATTTTAATCCGTTTTAGCACAAAAGTAAAATTCTGTCTTGCTTTATTTTTATACGTAGGTACATATGAAACCTACGTAATATTAAATATAAACAGTGTTAAAATTGTTGTTTGTATTTGACATATTGACCGTCACAGAGCTAAATTTAACTGAATTAATAGAGTACAAAAGCAAACCCCAATTACCGCAGACGTACTACGACCACAGCCCTTTGAACACGAGTTACGAATTACCTACGTATATTAAAATTCGTAAACCAAATAGAGCAGATCTTTTACTATGTAATAGAATGGTTTTATATCATAAAATACTATTTCAATTTCATTAGCTACCACGGTAAAGTATGTGTTTTGTAAAAATATATATATTCTCTAAATCAATCTTTTGTCAATGTACGCCAACATTAGAATAGTCAGTTATAAATGATTTAAGTTTTGTTTGTGTTTATAAAGTGATAAAGCCGCGCTGTAGCTATCTTATGATTGTAGCACGAATAGTCGGCTCGACTGGGGTAGGACCACGCTATAACACAATTCTAGCATAAAATAGAATTTTAATGGTGCTGTTTCGTATGTTGAGTGAGGAGAACCGGAGACCCATTTTACTGGAAACGAGGCATTCCATCCTAGTCCTCAAGGATGATAACTCATCTGCATTTTGAATCATAATAGAGGATAAATAATGTAGCTGTCTAAGGGCCACAGCATCCATCAGGTTGACTGTGTGATCGTTTGTCACTCTTATTCTATTAAAACAATACTAAAAAAATCAAAATTGTGTATTTATTATACGATGAATTTCTTTTCGTTTTCTGTTGATTATGTTTCATTATAATTAACAATCTTCTGATAACAGAATGTCTGAGCTAAGCTTTAGTGAAGGAGATAATGTTCCAAAAGTCTTCGTTTTCTTCGTGTATTTTTATTCCTAGTAAGTCAGCAAAGTATTTTCTTGTGGAAATTAATATATTTTAAGAAAAGCAGGTGGTGTGTTCCTTTGTAGTAGGATTCGCTTAGTAAACGTCTACGTAAACGTCCGTAAACTGTCACGACGGTACTCGAATTTTTAACATATCTATGATGATATGAAAAACTAATGCCAATCAATAAACAAATTACTATTTTTGAAAAAAAAATCCATTTTTTAAAATAAAATTAATTTTGAATTAAAACTCTTAGTGAAAAAAAATATTTTTATTTCAAATGGCCAGTACTGCAAAACGACAATTTCATAGGTAAATACCTATTATTGTGTGTACTCACCAAAACCCGTGCTCGGCAATAACTACGACAAGCCATTCTGAGATCAGGCCTTCAGGACTGGACTATTTGCGCAGATAAGCCATTTTTTTTATTAACAAACAATGGCGTCGAGGAATTCAAGGATAGTTTTGCTAGCCCTAATCATATAACGATTTTCATTAAAGTCAAAACAATTAGGAGGACGAAATCTAAGGTCAAAACAATTAGGAGGTTATCGAGATGTGGGGTGGTCTGCTAACCGAATTTATTATTACAGTCATATTCGTTCCTGCGAATGCGATATTCACGATTAACATTTTAGTCGACTGGGACTGCAACGAACGAACTACTCCGAGCTAAAATTCAAAAGGCTGTATTTATTAATACCTTCCGCATCGTTCGTCAGTTTCTTTCCTCTTTCAACCAGTCCTCGTGCAGTGTGGTCACACCTGCTATCACTAATTATATTATACTGCGAATTCTGTTACGCAATATTCTGTTTATTATAATATTATCAACATAATCTATTTTTTCTTCCTCTTTTTCTTCATCAGCCCGCAAAAGTCCAGTGCTGAACATGGATATCTCCCGTTATAGAGGGAATGTGTATTAATCGGTGACATTCGCAACACCAGACGTCTCATACATTTGACGCTAAAATATCCAGACCGGCGACGCTTCCCGTCTCCGTATTTTATCAGTTACATAAACGTGATTTTCTAGGATGACACTGATGACTATGCTGCCATCGGAAGCCATAAAATTTTTCTAACATTTCTTATCATTGCCTTTTACGAGTACGCACCCACGTGATAAAACGGTGCAGTGGTATCTACAACATGGAATGGTTCTGTTATTTACTAGAAATTCTTATATTTTCTGGAAAATCAACTATCTTCTTTACTATCAATTTATTTTTTATTCTTTACTTTTAATTTTTACTTTATAAAATCTGTTAGATAAAACTCCATGGAATAAATTTTGGTATCGTTTTTACTATGCAACCGTGCAATTACTTATTTTCAGTTTTTTTCTCTGTAGTGGTATAGAGATAATTGAACGTTCAATATATCAGTTAAGTGGAAGCTAATTAGTTAGGAAGCCAGTTACGAATGTTATTTAAACACTGTTAATTAGAGCAGCGTGACACAGAGGATTAATGCACGCCTTAAATTTCGTACCTAGAAAATCGGGTTTCATTCTCACCATGACGAATGAAATAGTAAATAGAAATTTTATGGGCTGATTTACAACATATTTGTACTCAGCGGTGAAGAAAAACATTTTTATAAAACCTGGATATGCAATGTCGAATTATATTGCATAAGATATTGTGTGTTATTGTCAAAAGATAAATGTTATATAACTCGTAAAATACGGAGTCGGGAAGCGTCGCCGGTCTGGGTATTTTAAGCGTGCGAATGTCAGCGATTAAGGCAAATTTCCGGGAGATATCCATGTTCAACACTGGACTTTTGTGCGCTGATGAAAAAAAGAGGAAGAAAAATAGATTATGTTGATAATATTATAATAAACAGAATAATTCATAATAGCATTCACAGTATAATATAATTAATGATGCCAGGTGTGACCAAACTGCACGAGGACTGGTTTAATGAGGAAAGAAACTGACGAACGATGCGGAAGGTATTCAGAAATACAGCCTTTTGCATTTTAGCTCAGAGCAGTTAGTTATGCAGTCCCAGTCGACTAAAAGATTAATCGTAAATATCGCATTCGCAGGAAGGAATACGACTGTAATAATAAATTCGGTTAACAGACCACCTCACATGTCGATCACCTCGGTAGCCAGGTTTAGGTTTCGTCCTCCTAATTGTTTTGGATTTAATGAAAATCGTTATATGATTAGGGCTACCAAAACTATCCTTGATCTCCTCGACGCGATTGTTCATTAACAAAAAAAAAATTGGCTTATTTGGGCAAATAGTCCAGTCCTGAAGGCCTGATCTCAGAAGAGTCTGGCGTAGTTTATGCCGACCACGGCTTTTGGTGAGTACACATTATAATAATAGGTCTTTAGCTATGAAATTGTCGTTTTGCAGTACTGGCCATTTCAAATCAAAATAATTTTGTTTCACTAAGAATTCTAATTTAAAATTAATTTTATTTAAATAAAATTGATTTTTTTTTCAAAATAGTCATTTGTTTATTGATTTTTTAGTTTTTCATTATTTAAATCGTTTTTGTCATCATAGATATGTTAAAAATTCGAGTACCGTCGTGGCAGTTTATGGACGTTTACGTAGACGTTTACTAAGCGAATCCTACAAAGGAACGCACCACCTCTTATTGGTTTGCCCGCTTCAGTTCTAGAAATTTCGACCTGGAAAATGAACCCCTTGGTCGTCCAAAAACTTTGGACGGCAATGCAAATTAAAGACGATTGTGGAAGCTATTGGTACTCGATCTACGGCTGAATTAGCATGAGCTTTCGACGTTAACATAAAAGCAATATTGGTCCATTTGCGTCAACTTGGCAAGGTTATAAATCTTGACAAATGAGTGCCCCACGAACTCAATGATCGCCAGCGTGAAGTACGTTTCAAGACGTGCCCTGCACTGCTCAACAAGCACACAAACGAAGGAATTTTGAAATGCATTGTGCAAAAATTAATTCCATTTGACAATCGCAAGCGCTCAGCAAGTTGGATAGATCCTGGTTCAGCACCTTAATAATGCCTTAACACGTTCGCTGCGGCAACTATTTGAGACATTATTCCCCCAGTGCGTTACCAGGTCTATAGGCCTTATACCTAAACTTTTCACCGGTGCGTCAATGGGTCAATAAACCTGGTAAGATATGGGTCACTTCAAACTCTAATAACTCGGCGAAAACTTTTGATATTGAATATTTTTTTTAACTAGGTTATTGAGAAAATGTAAGCCTATCTTATACTAGCGTCGCAAATTGCTCCGATGACTTATTTAGAAAATATACAGAAAAACAAACATAAGGCTTATCGACCCATTACCGCACCTAGGTAATGGTATAATTGGGATAATTTTAGTGATGGGAAATAACATAAGTACAGAAATATCGAGATCAACTTTATTTTATTATTAACTGTTATCTGTTATAGATGAATTTCGTAAAAACATTTAGCGCAATATCCCTTGTTGCACTCAGCGCAATACGATTTAATTTTTTTGGTTTTTCTTTGAGCATCTTTGCTATTTAACGTTGCACGAAGCTTATTGTAACAACCCGCACAGTTTCTTCTTTTTATCCCTTTGTTTTCGAAGGTATGATTCGTCTTTGGCATAGCAGCACATTCATTAGCTGTAATAAAAGAAACAAATTTAATAATAAACCAAGAGAGGAAACGCCGTGTGAGATTGTTGCTATTTTAAAGTTAACTTTATCTTAAAACTTAACAACTAATAAAAACTAGCTTGCTCCGAGAAAAAAATATAAGGTTATTGTATCAGTATTAAATTACAGTTAAGTATTTTATTATCATTTTTAGTTATTTTTTTTCTCAGACAGAATATCTTTACCTAGTGCTAAATATTACGGAAAAATATATTACCTGTTTCTGTTAATATCGGCACCTGAGTCAAAGCTTCAATAATTGCTTCCATAAAATTCTTCTTTGGCATTTGAACTGGTTTTCCGTGATTGTATAATACCCAGCTGTTTATTATGACTGTTCCAAATAATATCTCCATCATTACTTTTCTGAACCATTTCACGCCTCTTTTCAAGCTAGAATAATATGAAGACATTTGGTCGTTAAAATCGATGCCTTTTTTATTCTCATTGTATGTTATGACGCATTGTGGTTTTTTAATTATGTTTCCAGTGATTCGGTTCGTCTTACCTGAAAATGAGATAAATACAAGTTAAAATATTGGTAGATACAGTGTATCTATAAATTTATTCAAATTAAATTTCTCAAAATTTGTAGATTTTATCGCGGACGGATACTAGTTTATTTATAAAAAATACTCCTAATTTCTCAAAATTTTACCTAGTTATATTTTGTTTTTATTTTTGCGTCATATTAATTTGTAATTTTTTCATTTAAATAATTATGTAAATAGCTAGTTATAATGCTTTAGTGCCAACTGTAATGCTACTTCTATAAATAAATGAAACAGAAAAAATGAACTAACATCCTTATCTAAAATGACACATATGTAATACTTACCTGTAGATTTAAGAGTCAAATTGTGATTTCAGCACGTAGAAATCATATGAACCGGTCTCTTATCTGTCCACTTTATAACTCTTACCCCATTTGGGTTCATTTTTCCTACTATTTGACCTCGTTTCAATTTTATGGATATTATTTTCTTAGGATTTCCTTTCCGATTTGGTCTCAGAGTACCACACATGAAGGTCTTTTTACGTATAAGTTCTTCCGCAAGATCAATGGAATTGTAGAAATTATCTGTTATTATTATTCTTCCATTATTTTCTAATCCTTTTATTAATCTTAATACTGTTTCCTTTCCATGATTAGTTTCTCGACCATTATCTCCTTTACCTGTATATATAATACAGTTTCTTGTGTATCCTTCTGGAGTGCAGAGCTTATATAGTTTCACTCCATATTTGTGGGACTTGTTTTTAATGTATTGGCGAAATTTCAACCTCCCTCGCCACGGAATCATACTTTCATCTATGATAAGATACCGACCTGGCTCCAAAAGGGTTTGCATTTTTTCTTAAATCTTATTAAAAGTATCCCTTATCTTTTTCAATTTGTCTGTGTCGTTAGGTGACTCTTGACTAAAATGCCAAAATTTCAAAATTAGCAGAAATCGATCTCTTGTCATAACTGAACTAATGTATTTATTATTGTAGATGTTTCTTTTCGACCAGTAATCATTTAAACGTGGTATTCTTACAAGACCCATCGCCAGTAGCACTCCTAAAAATTATTTCATCTCCTCTGGAGTTGTAGGAGTCTAGGCTCGCAAGCGTGATTTAGGCTTAAGATTACTTAGATTACTAATAAGATCTTGTGTGTAATTGTTTGTGTTTATTACCATTTGCTCAATAATTTCATCCGTTACAAATAGACTGTAAAAATCTGCTGGCGTTATAGTATTATATCCGGAATGTTTGGTCTACAATTATCTGTGAATTCATCGAAATCAGGTTTTGTATCGTTAATGTCTTCCCACTCGTCAAAATTATTGTTTTCTGTACATTGAGTATTTTCAAGTATTTGAACTAATTCGATTTCAGAACTGTTTTCATAGTAAGTTATCACGCTATCATCACCATCACTATCGTCGGAGTAAGAAGAATCAGTTTCTAGGTCAGACGAGTTGGGAGCATAATTATCATCAGATGAATCGGGTTCAAAATCTTTAGCAGAATTTGCAGGAATATTCAAATATGTTAATGAACTTTGTTCATTTTGTGTTTGAGTGTCATATATTGCACAGATTTTCTCGGAAGGGTTGGGAGTATAATTGTTATTAGATGCATCTGGATTTAAATCTTTACCATAAATTGTAGAAATATTCAAATTTGTCAATGAACTTTAATTATTCTGCGTTTGGGTGTCATATATTGCACAGATTTCCTCGTTGGATAGTGGGCATAATAAGGATTTTGCACATGAAATGTCACTAATAGAACTAGTCCTGCTTGTAAGATTTGATACGTTCGGAGTTACTGGGGTTTCTTTTCTTAAATTATAATATTTGCGGATAGGAGTTGCAAGTCCGTATTCAGCGTTTTCCAGTACATGAAGAGTATTGCCAGTACTAGGACTAACATAAACATCGTTTTCTGATTTTTGTATTTTCTTTCTTTTAGGCGTAAAGTCTAAATAAGTCTTTCTAACTTGAGGACTTACCCGCATTGGGCTATCGTGTAAAGTTGAACTGAAGCTAGGTTCTTGAAAAGCAATAGATGAACTGCAGCGAGGTTCTTGAAAAGTTGTAGTTTCACTGCTTGTAGAAGCTGGCTTAACAATAACATCCTGAAGGATTTGAATTTGTTTTTTTTCTTGTAAGCTGGCACTGTTATTTTGGTCCACCACTTCTTGAGCATTTTGAAAAGACAGCTCGAGCATTTTTCGACAACGTTTATTACTCGATGCATTTTTTATGAATCGTACGCACATGCATTTGTAAAAGCTGTCAACACAACACTAATTAATTTTAACTCTTCAATCAGTGCGGTATTAGGCAGTTAGGCGTTGTACTTCCCATAAGGCCTATGGGCCTTGTATCCGCACTGAATGTCAATTTCTACTCTCCAGTGCGGTATAAGGTCGATAGGCCTGATACAAATATTATTATTTAAATGAATAGCCATTGAAAAGACGATCTTAAATATATACTTGTCTTTATCACTTATAGAGAAATCTTTAAGTTACTGCGTTCGCACCAGAGGGAGAACGCTGTATTTTCGCTCCGCACCGACTGCAAGTTTATGTATCAGGCCTATAAGTCTTGTGCCGCAGCGAACGTGTTAAACGAAAATTTACCCTTATAAAATTGATGGTCACTATTTGATGGTCTAGTGCCGGTGTGATTCATCACAGCTTTTTACTTAACGGGATGAGCAGTACTGCAGATGTGTACTTTGAAGAACTGAACACAATGATGGAGAAGCTCGCAGGTCCCCAACCAGCTTTGGTCAATCGCTCGTCCCCGTTGCTCCTAAACGACAACACACGACCTCCAACTGCACAACAGTCGGTCTGCAAGTTACAGGAGCTGGAATTGGAAACTCTTCGTCATGCGCTTTTCACTTTTCACAGAATTTGGATAACTTTTTGACAGGAAAACATTCAATAACCGTGAGGCAGTACAAAATACCTTTGAAGGATTTGTTGCCTCCTGTCCAACTGATTTCTTCAAGAAGAGTATCAACAAACTGGCACTGCGTTGGCAAAGATGCATCGATTGCATGCGTGATACATTGATTAATAGAAATAAAAAATATATAAAAAAAATCATCATCAATCATTCAATAAAAATCATCAGCAATCATTCAATAATAATAAACGTTTCATAGGTAAATACTTAATATGTAATTACGAGTATTTTATCTACGAGACTGTACTTTAGAGCATGATCTTTTAGAGAGTGAAGAATACTGTACAAGTCACTGACACTTAATTTTGATAGCAGTATAAATCTTACTACGAAATTAAATTTTTTCCCGTTTTAGAGCACATATCTATATAATTGCTAATAAAGCTGCTACAGGTAACACTAATAGTTTTTGTACAGATTTGTTTTTTAATTTTTACTTGATTTTCTTAAAAGATATTTAGTTCCACAAGAATATACTTTGCAGACTTACTAGGAATAAAAATACATGAAGAAAACAAAGACTTTTGGAACAATATCTCCTTCACTAAAGCTTAGTACAGACATTCTGTTATCAGAAGGTTGTTAGTTACAATTAGGCCTAAATTCCTTCTACGCTGACGTCGGTCGCATACGTCGGTCGCGCGTACTAATGTACATTGTGTTTTACATAGCCCCACACGGCGATGCTGACGACAGCGGCGCTTAGGTTGCTACGTACGCGTACGCGACCGACCGTACGCAACCGACGTCAGCATAAGAGGAATTCAGGCCTTAAACATAACCAACAGAAAACGAAAAGGACTCCATCGTATAATAATTACATAATTTTGATTTTTTAGTATTTTGTTTTTATAGAATAAGAGTGACAAACCATCACACAGTCAACCTGATGGATGCTAAGGCCCTTAGACATCTACATTTATCCTCTATTATGATTCAAAATGCAGATACCTTGTCATCCCCGAAAACTAAGATGGAATGCCCCGTTTCCAGTTAAATGGGTCTCCGGTTCTCTACACTCATCATACGAAACAGCAGCATTAAACTTCTATTTTATACTAGTGTTGTCTTATAGCGTGGTCCTACCGCAGTCGAGCCGATTATTCGTGCTACAATGATAACATAGCTGCAGCGTGGCTCTGTCACATTAAAACACAAACAAAACTTAAATAATATATAATCGACTATTCTAATGTTAGCGTACTCGTTGACTCGTTTGTAATATTGACAAAAGGTAGATTTAGAGAATATATATTTACAAAACACATACTTTACCGTGGTAGCTAATGAAATTGAAATAGTATTTTATGATATAAAAACCATTTCTGTTGCATAGTAAGAAATCTGCTCTATTTGGTTACGAATTTTAATATACGTAGATAATTCGTAACTCGTGTTTAAAGTGTTTTGGGATTTGCTTTTGAAATCTATTAAATCAGTTAAATTTAGCTCTGTGACTGTCAGTATGTCAAATGCAAACACCAATTTTAACACTCTTTATATTTAATATTACGTTGGTATATACGAATATTTAAATAAAGAAAGGCAGAATTTTACTTTAGTGCTTAAACGGAGTAAAATGTTAAATAACGTGACATAATCATTTATTAATAATTTACCTATCTCTTAATTTGGCCCCTCTTCAATATATCAACAATTTGAAAAACATTGATTTGACGCAGCTTTATCAATCAAGGGTTGTTCCAGATCATGATAGTGTCGACCGTGCAGTATTTTTTGTTTCCATGCTTCTTTTAAAATTTGCTCTGGGTCTGTAACTAAATTATGGGGTCTTTGTGTAGTAGTGTGATGGAAGTTTAGTGGTGTGTAATTAAGGTCATTACATTGGATTGCTCTTTGTTCGGTGTATCATGGTGTTGTCTGTCTATGCTGTCTGCTGTTGGGTTTCTTAAGTCTGCATTTAAATTTCTGTAAAATATCTTTTCGTTATTTATAAATAAATTATTGTCCTTCTTTCTCTGTAGTGATTTTAATATCTTTTGAGTTTATTACATTTAAGGGCTAATTTTTGTTTTAGGGTATCAAGGAATTCTTCCGGTCTGCTATTGCTGCTTTCATGTCTTGTCTGTAAAATTGTGTTTTAAATATCGCTGTAACTTTATCAACTATCTTCTTAGATCTTCTTTTCATAAAAATGTATTGTGTTAGTTTACCTATATCTGAGCGCAACTTGTTTATATTTCTTTGTAGTCGTATCTGCCAGATTGGTGTGGTGTCCTGTTTACGTTATGTGAGCCTATTATTATTAGTAACTTTGTATCCTAATTCTTGAGATATTACAAATGCAGTACAATAAATAATTGTGTAAATATCAGTAATTTTTGTATTTACACAATTTGTGTATTAGTTTTAAGAGTTGTCTGCTATATTTAAGCTTTGGGAGTTAAGGTCGCACTGTACGGTCTATTCCACATATTGTAAGATAGCGGTTTGTAGGTTTTCCCTTAGTTGTGATTTCATTAAATCGTTGTCTATCTCATCTAGGACTAGTGTTTCTATTTCGTTTTCAATTATCAGGGTGTTTGTTACCAGGGTATCTGTTTGAGTGGATATGTCTGACATAAGATTACAATTTTGGTACATTGGTGTGCCTCTAGTTAATGGATTAGGTGTCTGCAATTGCATGTCTGGTACCTCTATCATTAAGTTTGTCCATTGCGAATGCGTGTTATTTTATATTGAGTGCTAGGATGGTGTGAGGGATTGCGTGATTGTACTTCAGATGTTCGGAACAAGAAGTGTGATTGGATTTTAGGAGGCTTTAGGGGATTTTATTATATATTTTAGGGGATCTTATTATTACTATGTTGTATCTCTAAACTTTTCTCATCTGGTTGGGCAATATAAATTGTAAATAAACATGGTAAACGTACATAAATATCAACTAAATTAAATAAGTACATAAAACATACATAAATATATAAAAACTCAACCAGATAGAAGCCCTCGGCTGGGGAGGCCAAACGGCCGCGGGTTAGGGGGAAAGGGAAAGAAACCGGCGGACAATGCGGAATTATTATTATTATTATTTGTGTGGTTCTCTCAGTTCTAGTTTGATAATCGTGCACCATAGCAATATGAGATGAAATCAAACCCCTCTGCATAGTTTCAACGTCCAAACTGTCGCTCTCGAGAACTTGAAAGCTCTTTCGTTTATTTTGCTTTACAGATGCATGCAAAACATCAGTTTCCTCTCCACTGTCTGGTACATAATCAGAATCTGTATCGTCGTCATAGTTTCCATCTTGTTTAGGATCATTATAACTCACACAATTACTGTGCCGTATTTTTGACATATCAATACACATGTTCAACTGTAAAAAAATCTTGACAAAGGGTTTCTAGCATCTCTATACATTTGGTGACATCGGAGATAGTGGTGAAAAATTACCGAAATAAAACAAAACAAGTGTTTCACTAGCCAGTGTGTGAGAGTGTGACAGAGTTGCCAGTTTTTGAGAAAAATTTACCAACAAAAAGTTGCCACTTTAGAAAATATCTGGAAATGAATAATTAGTTATAATTTTATTACAACCATGCCTTCTATAAACAATGCAAAACATATAAATTTATTTTAGATAAATTATTTTATAACTCTATAAAACACTTGGCCTGATTCACAGAATGGGCATTCATTGTTTAAGTCGTTCCAACTAAAATAAATATTGATTTAATATTATTAATACTCATTAGTTAGATATAAGCCAAAAGTTTTAAGTTGTTTCAGTTACATTAAAAGTATTTGTATCAGTCATTAAATCTATTGCTTACAAAAGACTCAGCCTGCCTGAGTCGATTTAGGTTATTTGGTAATGTGAACTGTTCGACTAAAACTGTTTCTCTGGAACATACCAAGTGTTTTGAGTCGTTTCTGATAAACAAAAAAAATATTTGTCTTAGTAATCTTACAATGCAGAAACGACCCAAACTGTCATTATAGTTATTTTTAGATCAAAACTATTTTTCAAAAAGGACCCAAACCGCTTGAGTTCATCCTGGTTTTTCGACAGTAAAAACATACTCATAGAAATGCATTACTTAAAAACAATTCAAGTGGATTGAATTCATTCAGCGAATACATTTTATGTGCTCTTCATACTGTGGGATTGAGTCAGGGTAGCTAAAAAAAATCAGCTTCCGTGTACATTTTAAAAATAGGGTTTTCCTACATGATAGTTTCGATCCTCAGGAGTACGATGGCATACTTAACTCAATTTTGACCACTGTG